GCCTCCACCATTGCCAAGTTTCCCTCTTTGCAGAAAGAACTGAGCTTGCCTGCAAACTGGCTCATTCAGAATGTGAGCACAAGATGGAATTCAACCTTTAATATGCTGCAACACCTGCTTGGAAATAAAGGGGCTCTGTGCTTTTCCCCCCAAGGAGTTGACAGCTGACTTCATTACAGAGGAATGTGGCAGAGACGGTAGAGGCTACTCTGCAGTCTCAGGGGGCACTCACCAAGGAATGCAGTGCCAACCAGGCCTGAGCTTTGGGACTCTGCCAGAAACTCATGCTGGCCTATTTTACCCTAAATCATCCCTCTTTCTTGAACTCCAGTTTTCAGTGTCTTTGGTAGGCACTTCCTCCGCACAAGGGAGGTGCTAAGTGTCTCTGGCCTGCAGAAGCTAAATGGAGAAGCATTTGCAGGTGTTCTGTAATGGGATCTGGATTTCCAAGCTTCCTTTCTCAAGGGTTCTGCAATGTTGCACCCCAACAGGCACAAAGTCAGACTGCCATGCTCTATAGAGCGGAACTTGAGGGTTCACTGGAGTCCTTGTCCATGTTCTGGAACTGACCCAGAGCTGCTCTGGGAAGCCTAGCCCAGCCTGTGGGGGTCCCTAGAGGGTCTCTGGTGCTGTGACCTTCCACTGGGGCTGAAACACTGATTTTGCTTGTCAGTTTTCAAAGCAGAATGTCAACCCTGTCACCCATTTACATGATTTCTAAAGCATATTAATCTGGCCCCCATTCACAACACAAAATTTAGCATTATCTGGCTTGCATCAGAGAATATTAACTTTCTATCATTTGTTATCCTTTATCACCCCCAGAAATCTGTCTGAAATCTAAACGTCCAGAAATAGGAGCAGCCTCACATAGAACACATCCATTCTCTGGATTACTCAGTTCAGCATTAAGCAATGTGAATATGAAGGTCACAGAGCAACTTCAAAACTGCATATAACGCTAATTGAAAACAAAGCACAGTTTGAACTTTGATATATAAAAGTCATATCGTTCTTTTAAAACAAACATTTAAAAAGGGCTGGAATGAGAATAATTAGAAAAAATAAAACAAAACAAACAAACAAACAAAAAAACCAGTTGATGCCAGAGGTCAAAACTGTCAATCCAAGATTCAAGCCTGGCCTGAAAGTGTGTCTCATATGGCCCACACAGTGGGGGCCAGCAGAGTTTGAATTTAAAAAAAACGGAATAGGTTGCCAACATTTGGAAATTGGAACATAGCATGCAGCCACCCGGATTGCTGGCTCCTCGGAAGGCACGAGGCAATCTGGCACCAGGAGCCTCTTTCCCTGAAGGCAACAGGGGGGCAGGGGAGGGGGCATTTGCTCTCCAGGTTGCTAGAAGCCCCCGTGCCAATTTCTCACTTGCTGAGTCTATAATCCCTGGACCAGTGTAAGGGTGATGGGATTCTGGGTCATTTCTTCCTTTCTCCCTCTTCACAGGCTTGCTATTGGTTATTATGTTACTTCAGGGTTAAAATCATCATGAAATGCCCCATTGTCAAAAGCAGTGTTGAGGGAAGAGAGTCTAAGGCACACACTACTTCTCTACTCCTTAAACGTTCTTGTCTAATTTCTAGTCTTGAGTCAGGTACACTCACCTGAGAATGACAGCTACAGAACCCGCTGGTTCTCAAACTTGGCCACGTTAGAATCAGCTGAGGAGCTTCGATGTCCAAGTTGCACTCTAGACCAGTGGTCTTCAACCTTTTTGGTAACAAGGACTGGTTTCCTGGAAGACGATTTTTCCGTGGACCAGGGTTACGGGTGGATAGCTTTGGGATGATTCAAGTGCACGGCATGTGTTGTATACTTTATTCTTGTTACATTGTAGTAAATGAAATAGTTATATGACTCACCATAATAAAAAATCAGTGGGAGACCTGAGCTTATTTTCCTGAAACTAGGTGGTCCCATCTGGGGGTGATGAGAGACAATGACAAATCATCACATTAGATTCTTACAAGGAGCTCTCAACCTACATCCCTTGTAATGCTATAGGGTTTGTGCTCTATGAGAATCTAAAGCTGCCACTGATCTGACAGGAGGCAGAGCTCAGGCTGTCATGTGAGTGATGGGGCGTGGCTGTAAATACCGACGCAACTTGGCCCTGCTCCCTTGCCTGCTGCTCACCTCCTGCTGTGCAGCCCAGTTCCTAACAGGCCACACAGACCCATACTGGTCCGTGGCCCTGGGATTGGTGACCCCTGCTAGAGACCAATTAAGTCAGGATCACTGGGGTGGGGCTCAGGCCACGGATGTTTTTAAAGTTCCCCAGGTCATTCCCATGTAAAGAAGTTTAGGCCACTGCAAATCATGTACAATTTTACATGAGAGCCATTTCTTAACCTCGGTACTACTGACATTTTGGGCCAGATGATTGTTATGGGGACCTGTCCTGTGTATTATGTGATGTTTAGTAGCATCCTCAGCTCTACCCATAGATGCAGTAGCATTTCTCCAAATAAGAAACACTGCATTAAGTCATAAAATGATGGTCAGGAACACTGGCTATTATATTGGTCACCGACCCATCTATGTGGCCGTTGAGAAATTTCTTTTGGAATTAAGTGCTAGGGAAGCATTTTTTCTCTTGAGGTACTGATATATTCCTTCCTTTCTAGATGTTTTTTCCCCTTTACTACCAGGAAGCTCCAAGTCAATGCTAAAATGCACTGAAAATCAAAACTGAAGCAGAAAACAAGGCAACTACTGTAGTATATTTTCTCTCCTCTGACTTCACATGTGCTGATTTTCCTATTAATGTTTTGTTCATTTTTAAGTTGCCTTTTATATCCTTAGGGAAGGATGTAGAATGTAAATATAAACAAGGTAACAAGTCAATGAGGGGAATGACTGCTCCAAGCACTGTTCAGTATTTATGACCCAAAGAACGGTTGGTTCTAAGGAGGAGGGACTTGGTAAGTAGGAACTACCTCCTAATTATTGGAGGATCAACCAGTTTGATGGAGCAATAATGGTCAACTCCTCCAGCCTCCGAGCTTGGTCTGGAAAGAGGCTGAACTGTGTCTGTGCTGAAGGAGCCCGATGCCCAGCTGCGTGGAGGCTTCTAGGGAGAATGGCAAACACAGTTTCTGATGTGTCCTAAGAATTCCAATTCCTGGTGTTTATACTAGAATCTGGGAAGTATCCAAGAGGCAACGTTGTTAAAGGCAACTTGGGATACATCCCTGGGATGACACATGACCTGCTTTCTGTAAATAAAGAGCAGCTTACCTTTAGTAAAATATAACTCACTCAATAACCAGATGTTTTACAGCTTTTAAAAAATCATTATTAAGTGTGGCTATTTCATTCTAAATGCAAAATCCTGAATGGACCAGAGATCTTAATTTTTTAAAAATATAGCTGAGTATTTTAATTATAGATGTACTTGCATATTCTCAGCGTCCTTCATTATTTATGTAGCTGGTGAAAAAGCTTTTTAATTAAATAGCATGCTGGCAATCCATTGTGAAATATATAGATGCAGGTTTTCCTAGCATTATGAAGCTGAAAGCTGAATACACATGTTCGCCAACTTACGATGGGTTTAGCTGGATGTAACCCCATTGTAACTTGAGGAGCTACTAAATGTGTATCACTTTTGCACCATGAGAAAGTTAAAAAAAAATTGTAAGTTGGGAACCATCTGTGGACGCACACACACACATGCGCACACACACCCCATTCTGGCAAGCACACATACTTTAATCACTATAAAATACTTCTGAATGATCTTAAAATTCGACCAAACCTCTTTATATTGCTAACATAATCGTGTAATTTGCCACCACTCCACTTGATTATTGTGTTTAATGTGCTCAACGAACTTGGAAATATGGTAGGGTAGTGGTTCTCAACGTGTGGCCCCCAAACCAGCAATATCAGCATCACCTGGGAACTTCTGAGGCACATTTTTGAGCCCCACCCCAGGCCAACTGAATCAGCCACTCTGGGAGTTGGGCCCAGCACCCCAGGATGTAACAAGCTTTCTAGGTGATCCTGAGCAGGCTAAGGCTTGAGAGCCATGGGATGGGGATTATGCCTGGTGGTGCTGGTAATCTAGGTTTCATCAATGGTTCTCCTGATGACAGGTGGTCACAACAAAGTCAACTGGTCCCTGCTTTTAGTTCCCCACCAAAAAAGTGCCGTGAGGATTCTTGTTTAAGGTTCAAAGGTCTCAGAGCTTAGAAGAGGTCAAAAGACTCACAGTGGCTTAAATATTTTCAGCATGGTTTGCATGAAAGTTGCCCATGAATACCAGGTCTTTACTTGCCAATTTTAACTAAATGTGTATAACGGGGTTTACTTTACACATTGTAATTCTTCTCTTCTTTCAAAAAAAAAAAAAAAAAGCAGCGCTGAAATTAGAGCTCCTATTCACCATTGTATGACAGGCTGTGGTGGAGGCAACCTTCCAGAGATACCTCCATACCTGGGTGAAGGCTGATGACCAAGTTCTGTTACCTTCCTGGGCTGGAGGAACCAAGGCCAGGAGGTGAAGCAACTCCCATCTGGAGGCAGTGCCAGAACTAGAACTAACAACCATCTGACTCCCTGCTCTGTGCTTTGTCTTCTGAATGAACAATGCTGCTTCTTAAGTACACATAAGCCAAACTGCTTCTCAAATTGCAGCCATCTACTTTGAGTTCAGATTTGCACAGCATGACATGAATTGGGCTGCAAATTATGCAGAAAACAGCCATCACATCCATCTGTGATGTCAGAATCCTCAAGTACAATGTGACCTGTTAGTATGTAACAGAGTAGAAGGATACTGCGTCTGATTCCTTCCCTAAGAAGAGTGATGAATATCCTTCCAGATGCATTTGGCCCAGTGTGAAAAGGTTAAATATGATTGAGATAATGCCTGTGATATGCTCAAGAGCAGATTTCATATCCAAGGGTGCGGGCAATTAGTTTTTTTTTTTAATGGTGTAGTAACTAGAGAAAGAAAACACACAAATACACTCATACCTAATGGTAAACTGAATTTATTTCCTCTTGGAAAACAATTCCAGTAATCTCCAGGTTCAGACCGCAGAGTAAACATTAATAACAGTAACATACAGGTTAGTTCAACTGATTCAAGAATTTGGCTGCGTGAAATCATTAAGGAAAACCTTGAACACTCAAAGCTTCAAATGTATCCAGGAAAAAAAATTCTTTTGACAGTCTACATAACAACTATTGCATATATAGTGATGCTACCTGTCACATTGCAAGGCTTACAAATATATATATACGGGCCTTATCCAGCTGTGGGGTTCTGTTCTGTGAGAACATCTCTTTGTGGTTTGCAAGAATCTTCAGCAATAAAAAATAGTCTTGGATTTAACCGCTGATATACCAAAAGAGAAATTCTAGGCTTAAGTGTAAAGAAAAGGAAGTCCAACCATAGTCTCATGTATAACAGTTGTTTTTAATCTTTCTTCCTTAAAAATACTTTATCTTAAGCCATTTTGCTATTACTTTTTTTTTCTAATCTTGCCTGAATAGGGCCCAAGTCCACTTGTCTTTATAAGACCATTTTAGTATCAGACGACATAATACATGTGCAACACGTTATATACAAGGGGTCTATCCGGTGCGCAAAAGTTCAAACACATGAACATCCAACAGTTTTGATAATACAAGTTTTATGGTACAATACAATGTTTCTGAATAATATACATTAACAATGAAAGTTTCGTGCAAAGAGTAAAACATGTTCCCTTTTTGTGCCACAAAAGCAGTTCTCCTTGAGAGACTGTACTTGCACTAACTGCTGTGTTGGGTCATTGTATGATTCTGCAAATAAAAAAAAAAAAAAAAGAAGAAGAGAGGGAAAACAAATTTCAGTGATTTCATTTTCATCAGACCAAGCATATATACCTGTGATTGATTCATAATGACATGAACAATGAGTTTCTGCCCTCTGATGAATAGTGCTCATGAGTGCCTTGTAATGCTAAAAAAAAATCTGCTTCTTTCCACGGAGAAACAGACCAAGAGAGCTTCTGAACCTGCTGCCACCCATGAGGGCCTGGAGGGAGGGGCCGGGCCAGTAGCCTCTTTAATGTGAGATGGCTGGCTGGCACCTGCCTTTTCTCCACCTCTGCCACGCCTTTCTACAATACCCTCTCACCATCCATCATCTCTTCTTATTAAGATAGGACCCAGTGTTCAGAAGCAGGTAGCACCATTTTAATAGTTTTATGTATCTGTGCATGATTTCTACTGGTCATATATGCCTCTGTGCCAATTCCTTTGAGACTGTAACATCTTGACACAACAGGGCTCTATCTGCCCCCGAATATGCACATGAAATGCAAGAGTTGCCTGGCTGATGATGGACAGTGGGGGCAGCTCCCCCACTGAGGGTGGGCTTCTGGCTGCGGTCATACCATGGCTCATGGCTACTGTACCCGCCCCCGGATGCCCTTTCTCAGCTGACACAGCTTGTGTTGTATACTGGCAGTCTCCTCTCCATCTATGCCAGCATGGTACCCTTTCTGAGAGAGCGCCCTCTTTCCAAATTGTGAGATGGTAACTGGGATAGCTGGGCAACTCAGAACCACCAGCCAGGCACCAAGGCTGGACGCGCCGGGTGGGAAGACTCCAGAACCAGGCCTGGAGGGTGGTCACAGATTTGCAGGACATTTGTTTGAAGCATAAGCCTGAAGATAGCCTGATCGCCACTCTCCTTCTCTGCACTTACCCAGAGCCATGTTCTCTCATTACTTACCTGTATCCCCTGGCCCCGATCCCTTCTTAGCACAACCTTGGGGCCTAGCTCAAAACATCATCACTTCCACGCTCACCCCATCTAACACTGATCTCTCCCTTCTCTGATTTCCTGCTGCACTTTATACTGCTTATATAGGATGCATCTTAGGTCTTGTTTCATGATTATTTGTAGGCCTGGCTCTCACCCATGCCAATAATTCTGATGTTCATTCATTTATTCATTCCTCTACAAACATCTATTGAATATGTGCATCACCACCTGGCCACATGCCATAGCGCTGCAGTGCTCAGGAAACAGGGTTTGGCTATTTCCGTGACTGGCTGGCAAGGCAAGGGCTACAGGAGAGGAAAGGCATGGTCCTTCCCTTCACGCCTTCAAAGTGCTCACAGTCTAAAGAAGGTCATGTGGGCACATAACAGTAAAGCAGTCTATTAAGTCTATTAGAAAAGAACACAGACATGTCACAGCTACACTGACCCTGCCTTGCCATTGGGGAAGGGTTCGCAGTGGATCCAGCATACTGACAGCTAGAAACGTGAGCAGAGGGTACAAGGAGGGCACTCTAGGCCAAGGGACGCACATGGGTCAGGGCAATGAATGCACGGTATGTTTTCAGACCTGCAACTTGTTCAGATTGGCTGAATTCTTCTGGAGTGTTCTGAATCAACAGTACTCATGAGACGCGAAGATGGAGGTGGTCTGGAGCAAGAATATGAGCAGTCTTATGTACCTTGCTAAAGAGCTCAGACTATCTTGTAGGTTCAGGGAGCCACTGGAATATTTTAAGCAGAGGTCTTCATCTCAGAGATGTTTGTTATCTCTTCATCCTTTACAGCAACTAGCAAACTGCCTGCTCCTTGAATATAGGCTAAATGACCAGAGGTTTGGCTATGAACCAACTGGGATTGGGTGCAGAAGTGGGGGAGCAGGGAGCCTTGTGAAGAGGACCCAGATCTTCCTTGCCCCACATCAAATTTAGCTCATTTTTGAAGAAAATGGATGACAAATCATGATGGAGAACTGTGTTTCATTCTCCCTTCTTTAAAACATAGTTTAACAGTCCCAGCCTCAAAGTGAATACAGGAAGTAGCAAATGGTTTTTATGCAAACTCCTTTATCTATATGTTGATTTTTAATACTTCTGAAAAGTACTTGTCACCAATATGTAGACAGAAAGGGTAAGAAAGGTACTAATGAGACCAAAAAACTACTATTTTCTTAAAAATCAACATGACTATATTCAGAAAGGTTATGAACAGTAAAAGCCTGATTACTCAAAATACACCACATCTAAGCCTTTTTATACCTTTTGCTATCTCAGAGTCAAGTTTACAGAAAGGTTTTTTTAATTTTTAAACAGTCCAAAAAGAATTACCAAGTAAGTACAAGGAGATATGACAATACAGATCAAGCATCTCCAAATGGGAAAATTCAAAATCCAAATACTCTAAAATCTGAAACTTTTTGAGCACTGACATTGATGCCACATAGCTGTCTGAGCTATGACACCTTGGCTTTCTGATGGTTCAATGTACTCAAACTTTGTTTCGTGCAAAAAATTATTGAAAATATTGTATAAAATGACCTTTGGGCTATGTGTATAAAGTATATAAGAAATATAAATAAATTTTGTGTTTAGACTTGGGTCTCCTCCAAAGATATCTCATGTATATGCAAATGTGCCAAAATCTGAAATCAAAAAACACTTCTGGTCCCAAGCATTTAAAAAAAGGAATACTCAACCTGTATTTATGGAAATAATAGGACTCTTACAGATAAATGGGTTTTTTTCTCTTACCATAATCAAAGTAAAAAAAAAAATCAGTTTAATAATATTACTTTCAAATGCTTATGATGGACAGTCCACATGTGGATGGATTCTAGGGGTTAGTGAAAGAGTATATAGTGCAATGTTCCCAGTGTTTTTTTTATGAGCTTATATCAAGATGCTACAAAACAAGAACCTAAAACAAACTGCCCATAACAATTGGCAATAGTTGTGTGTTGTACGCTTTCATCCTCAACCAAAGCCGTACAAGTCTCTTCAGAGGTGCAAGGACGTGAACAAATACACATACATCACTTACTGCAACAGACTGAAGCTGTTTCATAAAGGAGTTATGTTTTGCATATAAGAGAGAATAATATAAATCATTTGTGAGAAGGACAAGGATATGGCTTGTGAAATTCAAAAATAAAGCACCCCGATGTAAGTAATATCAACATAAGAAAGCTGGCATGAGAAAAGTAAGGGCAGGAAGTCCTCTTGGTGCAGAGATGCCTGCAGACCACAGAGGTCTCTTACTCTCATTTTGTTTGGTTTCTTCTTTTTTTTGATCCTGCCCAACAGACGGCTATGGCAGGGTCTCCCCAGGCCTGGCTGTCCACCAATGGCAGTGATTCTCATGATGGAAGGCAGCATGTTCCTAGAGGTTCTTGGCAATGGATCTATTTGTATTGGAAATAATCCCCCATGGGATTCTGCTCCATCCTCAAGGGCCTGCCTCACTGCCTTTGAGGATCTGGGGATGTGTCTGTTCTCCTCCCCCATGCAGTATTTCAAGTCCACTGAAAATACAAATGGCTTCATTTCATCTTCTGGAGGAAGGAATGGAGTATCCGAGCCACAGTTTATTCTACTGGCTTTTAGGTGTTGGAGAGAACACATGCGAAGGCCTAGTCTCTGGTCTTGACTACAAGATTCTCTGAACAGAAAAACAAGAAGTTGCTTCCTGGGAGCACTCACTGTTTTTTGTGTTTTCTGATACTCATAGACTAACAGACATTATTTCTTTAGAAAGGGAGACAAGGGGCAAGTGGGAAGGCTGAAAAAGTTGACAACAGGAGCGCCAAACAAAAAGAGAGGGTAGGCTCTAAGGCCCCGTTTGCTCTCCCCCTGGCTACCCGCCACACCACAGAGCCACTCCTGAGACAGCGAGGACACACATGCGTATAAGCAGAAAGCAGAAAACCGCTGGCAGGCCATCCGCAAGCAGCCTTCTCTCTGTGCAAGAGTTTTCAGCTCTTTAGGTCCAGAGGAAACCACTATGCTAGAACAAAGCAGTGGGTAATCTCACCAATTTTACACAGCAATTCACAGTCCCCAAAGTACTTTAATGCAATGACAGGTTATGAGAAAAAAATATCTGTTCCAATGAAGGGAAAGTGTTTTACATAATCGAGAAGAACATCAGTGCAACATCAGTGGAGGTGGGGGGTGAAGACAGAAAAGGAAGTAGGAAGAGGAGAAAACTTCTGTAATCCCACAGAGAGCCATATTCTACTCTGCAAAAAGCCATCTCCTGGAGACCCCATGTCTAAGTAACTGAAAATTGCAAACCATTAATCCCAGTTATGAACAGTTGTTTTACACGAGGGGGGTTTGTGTTAAAAAAAATCAAATCCACAACATACCTAAAGCTTAAAAGAAGATCCATCTAGGCATGATACCTTAATAGCGAGGTTTCAAAAACACTTTCTTTACTGTAAAGGGCCCCATTTGGAAGGAGTGTGCTATATGTATTTTTTTTTCCTCTATAAATGTGAAATTAAACTTAGAAAGCTAAAAAACAGATGAGGACCTTAAAAATTCCCTTCTAGCACTATGTATTTCTTTTTAAATATGAGATGCCTTTCATTTTACAAGACTGGAATTCTCATTTTGGGCTTGGCACTCTAACAAATGATTAATTCAGCCTCCTTTTTTCTGAGAGCTGACCACATTTACTGGTCAAACGGTTTAATCCTATTTAAAATGCAATCCAAGAAAAATATTTTTAAGTAAAAATAAAAATCCATGATCCTTTGAAACTGTTCACCTTGGCTAAACATATTCCATTTTCCCGCAATCTTGATGTAAATCTGAATTTTGGCACCTATATCAATGATGAAATTCAGCGTTGGAGGAAAGCCAGGGGGAACCTATCTTCCCAGGGTTAAAAAATTAAATTCCCAACCCCAAAACTTATGCCCACAGATTGCCTCCACTTCTCTAATTCTTTGGCAGAGACCATGTCTCGTCTGTGCTTTGTAACACTCTGTTGGCACTGGCAAAATGTTA